TGGGGAATTCTGGGAGTTGAAGTCCACCCATCTTAAAGTTGCTGAGGTTGAGGAAGCCTGCTCTAGAATGGATCTTTAACTTTTTTTTGCACCATGAACCCCTCCAAGAATCTGGGGAAAAGTGTATTTAACTACATAAACTAAAATGCATAGACATCAATTGTATTACAAACTAAATCAATTATGCTCAAATACAGTTATTAAGAAATAACATATATGTGATAGAATAATATATGTGCCTCTTTGTTAAGCATGCTGGCAGGGGAATTCTGGAAGTTGAAGTCCACACATCTTAAAGTTGCCAAGTTTGAAAAACACTGTGTTAAATCAATGACAAGATAATACCCCTTTTTGTTTGGAAGTTAAACATTTTTGGGATCTAGCAGGCATAAATTACTTTGTTGCCTACATGCATTATTGGATGAAAAGCTAAATTTTAGTTAGAGTAAGTGAAAATAAAGCTGTAAATTGTTTTCCTACCCAAGTTCACACACCTCCTGAAATCTATCCAGGGGCCCCCAGGTAAGAAACTCTGCTCTAAAAGATAAGCAGGTGAAAAATAGATCAATGTTCCTAAATAATTGTCTGGAGAACTTTCCCTGTAGCGGTGGCAATTGTGTAAATGTAGGTACACATATATATGCTCAAGCAGTAGTCTCTTTAAAACTTTTTTGGCAGTATTCTCTGAAAAAATATCTGGTTTTACAGATTTTTTAAAAAAAACTCTATGTGGCATGAGTTTTGTTATAGGAGTGATGATACTGAACAAGCTTTCTAGCAAAACAACCTTGTTTTGCAATATTTGCTAAAACGGCTTTCAAGACCACAGATGTGCACAGAATGAGCCTCATTTTTTCCACGTGTTGCTTGGTGTCAGGATAAACTGCTAAATCTTATCTGTTCAGTTCGTCTGTTCAGTCTTCATGATGGCTTAATCTAGGTTTAAAAAGATAAAACTAGTATTGATGTGGTTTTTAAAGCAGGCTTAAGGTAATGTCTTTAGTTTTCTAGGGTTTAGTTATTTCCAAAGATGTATTTGCCTGCCCTGTGCACCTTTTAACTTTGACAACAGTATATAATCCACAGTTTTCTTCAGAAGCATTTGTGGGGGAAAGATAAAAAAAAGTCAAGATGGCAGTCATGACCATGTGATCAAAGCCCCACCCCTTTTTACATGGATTGTGCATACAATTTACATTAAAAAGGGATGGGTCTTTGATCACATGGTCATGGCTGCCATCTTGACTGTTTTGACCCTGCCATGGATGCCTCTGGTTTTCTTCAATGTGTTATCAGAAACATGGGATATGCCCTCCTAACTTTCTATTATACATAAATCTAACCTCAGCATTCCAGCTATATAGACTTATATTTGTTAATACGTTTTTATAATAGCAGATTATCCTGATAATTCTGAGACGTTCTTCATCTTCGGTTTGTGCAGGTTGAACAAAGTTGTATTTACTTCACCAGATCCTACCCAATGCAATGGCACTTGGACAGATTTCTATCTTGTGGGAAACTTTTCCTCCTCTGCGCAGTTCTTTGTCACGTTTGCAGTCCTGATCTTCTTCTATTGCATGGCTGCCCTGGTGATGTACCTTGGCTATATGCACGCATATCGGAATGGTAGTAATTTCCCAATGATTGTAAGTTGTTAAGATTCAAGTTGGATGATAAAAAGGAGAAAGACATTATTTTGGATAGCTTTGGAGTTAAGTCAACAGCTACGTAGGGTTTACTATTAACTTTGTAAGTCAAAAATCTGTTGGAGTTGGGTGGCTAATAAATTCAAACAAATCAAAAATAAATAGTTTTCAGGCTTCTAAACATAGACTTAAGACATTATTTGGAATCTACTGGAGAGCGACATGGTATAGTGGTTAGACCAGACAAATCAGATTCAAATCTATGAAAGTGAATTCTCCTCCATGACCTTAGATAATCACGCTTGGGGCCTAACGTTTGCTGGGTTTTGCTGGGAAGGTGGAGCAATCAATGTGCAGTCCACTCGACTTCTTAGAAAAAGGTCAAGATAAAAATTGCAAGAAATTTCTGATTATATTTAGGGTGCACGGCTGTTGCTTTACAGAGACTCTATCCAATGGAAGTTCAAGCTATCAGAACTGTTAGAAGTTCCCTTCATTTGGGGTAGGTAATTTGTCTTCAGGTTCATGACTGGACCTGAAGTTGACAAATCTACATGTTGAAGTAAAATACAAGACAGAACAGTGTATCTTCCATTTCTAAAAAGATTCTCCAAAATTGTGCCATCCTGTTGGGATTGTAACTGTAAAATTCCTACCACATATCTGGAGGGGAAGATGCTGATCCAGAGCTGTGTTTTGGATATTGTTTTGTGCTGAAGAAAGGAACTGCTTCTAAAGTTCTCTGAAAACCATTCTCTACAAAGGCATATCCTGTCTCCACAGTTTCTGCCCATCTACTGTAGTAAGATCAGGCAGGGGGGAAGTGGGGATTCCAGGTCTTCTTGATTAAACAATGTCATCTATCAAGACCTAGGAAGTGGAATTTCATTCCCTCGAAGAGTCATATGGCTCCCACCCTGACTGTGTTCTGAAAATCTCTGAAATCCAGGGCTTACAACCACCCAGGCCCTGAGGCAGGGTGATTGTAAGCCCATATAAGATTCTTTTTTGCTAGAGCTATATGGTGTTTTATTTTTGTGATTTATATATGTGATTTATTTTTCTGTTTTACTGTTTCCTCCTTTTTAAAAATGGAAGCCTCCCCCCCAGAGTGGCCTGAGTCAGGTGGCCTCTAAATTGTATAAAATAAATAAATATCCAAGATCTTATCTTAATTGCTATGTTAGATCAGGGAGAGTTTTTAATTCTGCAGTGAGGGGCTTTGTTTGCATGACGTGTGTTTGCATTTAACATTGATCGTACTGTCCTGGGACTAACCTGATGACCCCACGAACCGCCTCAGCAGCACCCCTACCTAATCTTCTGATGGGATAAGGTCCTCCAGCAACCTTTGTGCCAGCCCTTCTGTCCTGAGCTTTTTCTTAGGTTTTGCAAACATCCCAAAAGCCAGGGAGACCCCACTGCAGTTGGAGCTGTTTTACCCTAGATACAGAGCAGCTAATCCTTTTTGAAGCCTTTTGCTTTTGCAGGAAGAACCCAGGAGCTCCTATTTGGGGGAGGGGGATATGGACCAGCAGAGATGTTGCTTCTGAGTGACACTACTTTGTACCTCCTTCTGTGCGCAAGTAATTTTCCTGGAGAAATAACAGCAAGCCAGCTGCAGAATCCATAGGTTGGAACCTTCTCCATGCCAATAAGTCCTACACATGTTAAAAATGAAAGACTATAGAACAGATTGCTCAGATTCCTTTACGATTACCTACATCCTCTTCATTTTTGTAGCTGTGTATTTCAAGGGCTAGCAAGCAGGCGGTTCTTTCAATTCTGTAATCCAGTGTTTCTCAACCTTGGCAACTTTAAGATGTGTGGACTTCAACTCCCAGAATTCCCCAGCCAGCACGCTGGCTAGGGAATTCTGGGAGTTGAAGTCCACACATCTTAAAACTGCCAAGGTTGAGAAACACTGCTGTAATCTGAAGCTTTAATATATAAGCAAAACTGGTAACTTCTTTCTTTGTCTTCAGGATTATGTTTTCACTCTCAGTGCTGTCTTTCTGTGGCTAGTCAGCAGTGCTGCCTGGGCAAGGGCTCTGGTTGATATCAAAGTATCAACTGGTCCCCACATTGTGGAAGAAATACCGGCTTGCAAAATACTTGGATCGTCCTGTGTGTTTGCTTCCGTTTCCAGCATGGGAAGTTTGAATGTGTCTGTGGTATGTATGTCAAATACGGTTTAGTGGTGTGGATATGCCTGTTCATCAAGCTAGAACATGTGTTCACAGGGTAGGGTCAGAAGAGTCAAGACGGTGGCTGTAGTAGTGCAGTTGAAGCACCTTTTTTTAAAATATGTATTGAATGTGTGACACCATAAACAACAGACCGAGTTATGATCACACCATCTTGACCGATATCTTGACCTTTTTGACCGTATCCTGCAGATACGCCTGACTAAAACCAAACTAAGTAGTGGAACTTGGGGGAAGCTGGATATGAAACCAGAGAACAGTGAACAGAACAGCAGTTTGCTGGGCAATAAGGCTAAAAGAGGGCGATGTTAATCTACTGTTTCAAAGTGCTATTCTTAAAATGAAGCTAAAATTACTGCCTTGGATACTTAGCCCCAAAGGAAAAATATCCTGACATTATAACAAGAGGGCAGTTTTTGGTCAGGGAAATATCTAGAAGGATGCTAGAAATGAGCAAGAACAACTTCCCATTTCTGGAAACAATTTGTGAAAGATGTTCAGGCTGTATGGAGAATGGAATAGATGATGGGAAGAGGAGAAAACACACTGAAAATCTCTTTTCCTGAGAATTTGTAGTGCAGTTCTAGGTTTCATCATCTTTATTCTGTACTGTAGCCTCACACTGGCCCCTCCTCAATTGCTTCTGAAGTTAAATGCACTTAGTTTATAATCTGGGTGGTCTTAATTCCAGCTGGGTTGATGGGAGTTGTAATCCATCACTTACGGAGTTTTTAGCGAAGGATCAGTAACTGAAAGACAAAACTGAATTTGGCTCCCTCGCTGTCCGTATAAATATTGAGTAGACTTGATACTGGGAAGTGAAACTTGGTCGCAAGTGAATCATATGATTTGGTCTTAGAAATTCTGCAAATTACCCATATAATCTGTCCACTTTGTTTAGGACGCTTACTTTCCATGCCATTAAAAAAAAAAATCAATCTCCATAATGATGCTGAAGAGTTCATGCTTCTAGAAGGTTCACAATCTTTGCAGCCTGTCTCCAATTTGGTGGCCATAATATAGAGGGACTGGGTAGACTGCTCTAGAAAAATAGGCATTACTTCATATATGATCTTTAAATGGAGCGATCTGATGTAGAATATGTCTTTTCATTGTCCCATTAAAAAATGATGTAAAACATGGATTGATTCAGTTGTAATACAGAACTAATTAAGACCTTCCTTCTTGCAGGTTTTTGGCTTGCTAAATATGATTCTGTGGGGAGGAAATGCTTGGTTTGTATACAAGGAAACTAGTCTGCATAAACCTAACAGTAGTTCTCCAAACTCTGGGTTCTATCCACCTGCATCAGGAATCTGAACAGTTGGAGATTTATGCTAAAATAGCCATGTTTCATATTGTTGACAAGTTTGAATACACTGCATTTCAAAATCTTTTACTATTAACTTTCACAAATATACAACTTGGAAAAAACGCCTGGTGTGGATAGGAAATGAGTATTTTTGAAAGAATTTATAGATAAAGAGTTATTGAGTATTAAAAAGAAAAAGCCAATCCAGTTAAAAATATATATTTTTAACTGGATTGGCTTTTTCTTTTTAATACTCAATAACTCTTTATCTTATTTATCTTAATTTGATACTTTAATTTAGTCAAACTCACAGATGTTGTCAACCTAGAAAAGAATCTTTTTGGCAAAATACATTTCTGTTGTAATTGTAAAACTGCATTTGACTTAATTCTTGCCTGTATGTATAATCATATTCAAGTTATACTGTACTTATGTTTTGTCGTAATCTGAGAGACTTGAAATAATTGTTGTGCATTATATTGATAAACTGCTTTATCAATAGGCAAATTAACTGTCTGCTTAAACAGTTGTCCGGTTTAAAAAGTTTCCTCCACACCAGAAAAGTTATTTTTATATTTGTGATTTCAGTGTAAAAGTGCTACTCTAGAAAAAAGATTGGATACAACCTGAATACCATGTGATATAATAACTGAGGTAAATCTACATGTTTGGGTTGGTAATAAAACTATCACCAGTGATGTATTTTAAATTGGAAAAGTTCTCTCTGGTCTTGAGAATGCAAGTTATGTGGAGGGAAGAACACAACTCTTAAGAAAATGCTGAATTACTTCTAAGTTTGACTGTTGAAAAAATGGATGCTTAATGTTTTCAAGCATTGTCTCTGACATATACTCCTGTACTTTGGATTCAGTTTACCCTAATAAATTGATGTTTCTAGAAATCTGGCCTGTTGTCCTGAAAATATTGTAAAGCAGGAACTGGCAAAACCTAGAGCAGTTTTCCTTTCACTGTAGAATACCAGTGTGCAGAGACCTCTTCATCCTTCCAATTATTCATTAGATTTATATCCTGCCTTTTGTACAGGAGCTCAAAGCATCGCAGATAAATCTCAGATCTATTTTTCCCCATGTCAGCAACCTTGTGAGGGAGACTGGCTTGGGAAAGAGTGACTGGCCCAAGGTCACCCAGTTGGCTTTCATGGTTGAGGGTGGGTGAGAACTTGGGTTTTCCTTCTCCTGACCCAACATCTGAACTACCACACCATACTTGTATGTATCCCTTGAGTACGGGTTAGGAAAAAGCTTCATGTATGGCAATCTCTCCTTTTGTCCTTGGTCCTCTGCATCACACTCAAAGCACTGGCATTTTTAGGATTCTGCTGCATCTCCCAGCAGATGGCCTTCAGAGGCAGTCACACGGGGGGATCTCAATGACCTAATAGCCACTGATTCCCCCATGACTTCCAGGAATTGGTCCAACCCTTTTCTGAAGCCAGCCAAGCTGGTAGCCAGCATCGCATCTCATGGTAGCAAATTCCAAAGTTGAATCACACGATGTAGGAAAAAGGGGATGCAACTTAACTAGAAGCACAAATAATTTTACTCTGTTCAAGTTTGGTATAAGATCCCCTTACATGCCAGTTATTCCACACACAGGTATGCATTCTGTGGCTTGTCAGTCCTATGTAAGTGGCTGCCATGGGCATCAGCTGGGGGGTGTCAAAAAAGTCAAGAGAGCAGCCACAACAACAGGATTGTAGTTCTGCCCCCTTTTAGATGTCTCAAAGTAACACATCTCATTAAAGTCAACAAAGGCTGACCAGTTTTTATTCATGTCTTGTGTGTCCAAGGTCCCCTGGTGTGTTCTGTAGGATATCTTAAATCTAAAATGTCCATGGCTGGCTGGGGAATTCTGGGAGTTGAAGTCCACCTATTTTAAAGTTGCCAAGGTTGGGAAACACTGCCTTAGACATTTGAAAATCAATAATTTGTAGGCACTAAGAGAAAGCTTTATCACTCCACTAGGCGTCACTGTTGCTGCATTAAAATGGGGAGGCTGGAATATCTTACTACCCATCTTCCTATCCATGTCAAGTATTCTGAAGGTCAAAAACTGTCAGATCTCTTTAACAGGCTCAGATAATAGAAATTCAAAACAAAGCCGGCACATTGAAAGAGCAGATGTTATTTGTTCCAGACCTTGAAAGTTATTCATATTCTGCATGAGTGTCTCTAACGCAAATCCTTGTTAAAATACAAGGCAGCAGGCTAAGTACAGTTCAGGCTGTTCCGCTACAGGTTTTGGAAAGGTCTTAGCTTAACTTGAATTTAACTAACTTAACTAACTCAGCAGTAGTATATGCAAAGTGAGGAACTGTATAGTTTTTCTTCCTGGAATGTTATGAATGTCTGTGATCCATGGCTCTTGAGGATACAAAGATCACCATTACCCATTTTTCCCCCTTTATTTTTCAAAGGAAATTCCAACAGGGGAAGTACTTTGAATAAGTGATGTATGATGTAGGTCATGAGCATTATTATGATTAGATTGCAGCCTGTGTGAGAACTTAAAGCAAATGCAGGCTGTGGGATTGGCTAGACAGCCAATCAAAATGGTTGCATTTTGAAGGCATCTGCTCCTTATTAAGACATTTGCAACATCACCTCCAAAATGCTAGAAATATTAAATAAAGAATGCAGAGTTGTTGGGAACAAAGCCATCTTCACCATGAGCTTCCATAGCAAACCTCTCAGCCTGTTCTGCTGAGAATTATCTCTGAGGAGGACCAAGGCAAGATGGCAAGAAGAGCTCTAAAACACAGAAAAGTAAGAAGGGAAATGCTGATGCCAACACAGCCTTAAAAAGCCCACAGCATCAGAAAGAAGAGGACAACCGGCAAAAAAATGGATTGACTCAGTTACAGTAGCCATGAGCGCACCGTTGGAAGAGCTGAAGGACTAGGTTAAGGACAGCTCATCATGGAGAAAAATCTATATATGTGGTGGCTAGGAGTCGACAGTGACTTGATGGCACGTAATCAATCAGTCAGAAAGGCAGGGTAAGTGACTGTGAAAGAGCGTTCATCAAAGGGCATCAACTAGCCCTGACCTTTTTGCAAAAATTGCTGAATTATCAAACACTACAAATGCAACCAGCTGAAATTAACCAAGAGAAAACAAGGCACCCCACCAATACTATTAGATAGTTCCAAAGATGGCCTGAGGATGCAGACGCCCTCTACAGTTTTCCAGAACCTAAAAAAACCATCTTTTAAAAAATGTTACACAATAGGGCTGGCTATGCGTGCTTCACAAATGATTCAATAGTGCACAAAGAGGAATGCTGTTGCACTCTGAAGTAGCCTGATGTGGGATGGGGGGGGGGCTTCCATGCATACTTGGGGGAAAAGAGGCCACCGCTTTAAGACCAGAACTAAGTGAGTGGCCTGAAACAGTCCTTCCAACCTGTGCACAGGGCTATTCAATGTTTTGAGGAGATAAAGGACATTGAAAAAGCCCAACCGATGCTTCCAGAAGCCAAACCCGTGGCACCCCACCCAGTGACACCTCCAGAAGGCTTTTATAATTTCAAAGCAAATTAATTCATTTTTAGAAACTTCTTGAAACTATACAGACCCCAAATTCAAGGTGCAAAACATTCAGATTTTTCAAGATTTAAGTGGGGAATAACTTAAACCAAAGGAAAAAGCTTTGACCTGTCACAAACCTCCCACAAAATGCCTGGCTCTCTTACCAATAGGGATTTTCATTCAAAATCCCACCCTTCAGCATCCCATTGACTTCTATTCTGCTCAGCTCAATTGGATTCTTGGTGGTTTATGCAAAATGTAGACTCAGCAACATTAACACATCTGAAGGAAGAAAAAGGCATCCATACAACCACACCCTGTCTTATGGCTCATCCCCGAATGTCTGCTCAGATTGGAAGGGTGCTCCTTGAGCCTCTGGGGGAAGCTATTCCATGACATGGAGGTCAAAACAGAGGCCTACCTATGGACCCATGACTTCTTGTGGCCACCTAGGGATGGGACCCTGAACACCCTCTCACTGCATGATGGTCCTGAAGGTAATGTGAAAGCAAGCCATATAGGGCTTTATAGGTCAAAACCAGCATTTCAAATTGAACTTTGAAACCCACTGGCAGCCAATGCAACATCTGGAATCAAGGTGTAATATTCACGTACGTAGTGGCTTTCAACCACCAATGAACTGACTGCTGCATTTGTATTAATTGTAGCTTCTCAATCAGCCTCATTTAGAATAGATGAGTGTTTGCTGTAGAGTAGATCTAGAGTATGTCGTAGTCATCTGGAACCTAAAGTGACAAATAATAATTAAATCTAATATTCTTTCTCTCCATCCTGACTCCCTCCCTCCCAGTTTGCAGCCACCAGGTCAGGATAGCTAGTGGTCCAGCCTGGGGTGGCAATGTAAAGCTGAATATCATCAGTACCCAAATACTGTAAGGAACATCACATGTTTCAAAATAAAATACACCTAAAGACAAAGAACTGAAGTTTCCTCTCAGGACTGAGTTTTACTGACAAATGATTACCTTATTACAAAATAAGCTTTCCTTAGCTCAAGTTGGCAGTCCTATACATACGTGCTGAGATTAACAAAACATTACAGAGATAAAAATTGCAATACAAACAAGAAAGTTTCTTTCAAAATTACACGGGGTGGATGATAACAATTAGGAGCTGCTTTTCTACAGCCCTGCTGAAGACATTTCAACTCCGTGTCGAAGGAAAGGACAAGAGCAGTATGGATTGCCGTGACAGCAGCACGTCTTTCTTTCGTCAGAATGTCACCCCTGCAGAAATTCTGTTGACAGGAAACCAGTGGGACAATTTTGCTCCGCATAGCAACCCTATAATATTAGTGACCTTTCACCCTCCTAACAACTGCAGATTCCTAATAAAATCTAGACATGTCAATAACAACTGCAGATTGCTAACAAAATCAATAACTACAGTAACAATTTATTAAATTTATATGCTGCCCAACTCCCAGCAACTCAGGTCAAGACTGCCCAATGGTTGCAAATCACTTGCTTCCTATCTCTGATATTATGTGGTTTTTCTGATCACAGAAGACGAAACAAACAACTTTAAATGTCGGTGGCTGGTGTGGGTCTTCCGGGATGTGTGGTGGTGGTCTTGAAGTTTTGTTTCCTAATGTTTCGCCAGCAC